GTTCTTGTAGTTAGGAAACGTGAGATTGATCTCTAATCGCTTGAGAGTATATATGCATTCGCGGGGTGAGTCTACCGGTTTCTTTTGATCTAATAACTGCGCAAATTTTTGGAAATAGGGGAAAGGATCATGATTTGAAATGAGAGCTGATTTTATTTGAAATCTTAATCTCTTCTCTCGCTGTCTTCGTTCGCCTTTAGTAGGCATGAAAGTAATATAAAAGAATTATCAATGTTCTGAAGAACTGCCGTGAGACGGGGGCCAAGCTATTGGCAGCGACAGTCGTAACAGTCCTCTGGATGTGAGATAATCTGGAGACACTGGTAGTGTCTCGGCGCTAAGCTGTGCGAAGCGACACTGCGTGCCTCCTTTACGCGAACCGACGAGTTGCGGCAGATCGAGATTATCGGATCTCAATAACGGCTGAACCGATCGCGTTCTATGTATGCTCAATCGATAGTCACCACACGGATTGTGTGATAAAAGTGCTTTTATTTTTTTTCTACGTGCCCTACGAGCGGAGATATCGCGACGCAAAGTTCCGAACTGCTACTTTTTCAGTCCATTTTTCAGATACGTCGTCCTTATTTTGTCATTGTCATTATCGTCGTCGACCAGGAGAAAATGTCCTTCTCGTTTTTTCGACACTAGAGGGCTTTTGACTTAACCTAGCGATGGCAGCATTGCACATTCGAATGTTATCAACCACACATGACGGCTGTGATAATCAGCGATGGCAACATTGTCACATATACGATGTGACGTGCACGCGGCGCATTATTATTATAATTAATTGAAATTAAAATGAAATTTAATTAATAAAATGAATTAAAATACAATATTAATTATAATTAAAATGAAATATCGAGATTGTCGTTGAAGATCTAGATATTTACCGCGTCGAGGAAGAGGGTGTATAGATATTCAGGAATTAAGCGTCTAGGTGTTCGCCGTCGAGTAAGTAGATGTCTAGATCGAAGAAATGGGTGTCTAGATGATCGCCATCGAGGAAGTGGGTGTCTAGG